CGTCACGCTCTTGCCACGCAGGCACGTCGCCACTGTGAGATGCCTTTGAGTCTTTTTCTGCTACGAGGTCCATCCGGTTCCATTTGTGGCCGTCCTGTGAAGTAGAGACAAGCTCCATCTCATGCGAAGCAGAAGCGGGCCCAAATGGCCCAACACAGCCCGCAGCCCACCCGCTCGTACCGCCAGGCACTGCCGCCAGTCATTGCAGCAATTCCCCACTCTGTGATGCCGGCCTGGGAGTTTGCGGCTTGTTGCCATGCGTGACGCAGCATAGCTGGAGAACCCACAAGAACACAACTCTTAGCAGTGCTGCCTCTATAGAGGCATAGCTACCGCACAGTTTTGCAAAGGCCTGGCGGACGAAATTTCCACAGGTTCCAGTAAGGACAACGAGCGCACGAGTCCTTGCCTTCTCCAGCAGCATTGTCCAAATCTCCTTGCCGTGAGGCCGAGCGTACATCGCCTCCGAGGGTGACACGCCCAGAGCAGCAAGGCCCCATGACAGACGAGCCTTGGGCATGCCGTCGGCAAGTCTTGCAATGCCCCCGGGGTCTTGCTGACTAGCCGTGCAGGGCACGAAATCGTCTATTACGATGACCTCCAGGGCTGTGTCAGCATCTGCTCTGAAAACACTCAGCACTGGTCTGATTCCAATCAACATGGGGGAGTCGTTTGGGCCAGGCCCCTCCTATGGACAAGCTTGGATGATGCCTTCCACTCCTTGATTTGAGGATCAAAGAGCTTGATGCTGTACTTTCCATCAGGCTGCACCTGAAAAACTCGTGCGGGTAATGGCTCTGCTGCGCATCAACAAAAGTGCCCAGGTGTCGCGCACAGGACTGATAGAAGAGTCCGTTCATGGCACCCTCGTGCTCGGCTAAAGTCGCCATGGCCTCAAACATGCGGCGACACTTCCACTCCCAAACACTGAGCTATGCGGAGCTCAAAGCAAACCGGGACGGTGACTGCAGGGCATGTTATCTTTGCAGGCTAACCTAACCGTTAACTGTGGCCACGCTACGTACTTGTAGGCCCTTGTCGTGCTCTCTCCATGCCATTGGCATCCATTGGCCGTGCGTCAAGCAATTCCCACAGCCCACTTGCCGCTGCCTGAGCCTTTGTCGGGCCCAGGTTTCCGTTCTGCTGCTTGCTACAGCTGCTACATTTGCTACACGTAGCTATGTGACTCTATGTGCATAGTCCCAAGCAGGCTCCGCGTGCGCATGTGCGCCCTCAGTCGCCCTCCCTCCCTTCGTGCCAACGCAGTTGAAACACAAGTATCCATACACTGCTGCTCGCTATCATCTGCCTGGCCCACTCAGGCAGTGACGGCAAGCAGCCAGCAGTCACCCAAAGCACCCTGCAAGATGTCTTGCGCCTGTTCACGGCAGTAATCTTGAGGCTGAGATGCAAAGTGTGGAAAGCACCTCGATCTTGCCCTCAAACAATCGCATGTGCGAATCCTGACTCGAATGAAAGAAGCGAATCGCGCAGAAATCTTCAGAGCTTCGGGCTTGGGTCGCCACTCCGAGGGTTGGATGAGTTGGCTCGGCTCCGTCATTCCTGCGGACAACCGACCACGTTGCCGAATATTACAGATCCAGGTGATTGTGAGGAGCTGCAAGCCAACATGCCCTCATGCCCATGTGCCAAGCATTAGACTTAGACTGGGTCTTGGAACGGCCACGGTTTGGTTTTGTAGCGAGGACCAGGAGCCGTCTCTCCGCCAGCCCTTTGCGAACCCTCGGTTTGGTCGCACAGGACTCACAAAGCCAAGCGGAAAATCGTGGAACCAGCATTGCAGATGTCGTAGAATTTTGATAAGTTTCGGCTCACATCAGATGACAACGTCAATCCGCACTGGTGCAACATGGGGCCGTGCATCGCTGTACGAGCTGTCGGAGTTCGGCACGGGCACTACCCTTCATCTGATAAATGCGCAGACTAGTCTAGGAGAGTCTAGGGCTGGACCAGGCGATTGCATGGAAGCTTTCCAGAGATTTCTGCTTCAGATGCTTCTACAACCTCCTATTCAAGAGCCTGTGAAGCTTTCCGGCTGGTTGCAACCTTTTGCATGGTCTCTACAGAACCGGACTTATGCATCCTAGTGCGAAATCCTTCCCTTTCCAAATCTTTCCAACTATAACATACATGACCATTGCAGTAATTCGGCTTGCACTTTTTGGTGAAAGGAAACTACATAGTATTTCAGAGAAGAAAGCGTGCAAATCGGGGCCCGGCAACACAAAATCGTGCCACTGCATGTCGCCCAAATACCCGATTCATCGTGACACAGCTCTGCTTCTCTCATCTGCTAGTGGAGTGGTCCTTGAGACGACGTCACGCAGACCCAAGAAACGATTTCATGCCATAAGTAAGTTGTACAATGGTACAAGTCTGATCTAGTAGTGCATGGCCATGACAAGGCCCCAGTCAGAATTTGCGACGCGACGGCATCTCCCAAGCCGTGGCTCCTGGAGAAATGCATCGCACGCACCTTAGTAGAACATGGGCCCGACAGCACATGGAGCAAGGGGGTCATGTCGGCTTCCAACCCAAATGGTACTCCCGCCCTGCTTCCCGCTGGACTCATTGGCTGTATCACCAGAAACCTGAACCAGCATCATGCAGCTTGCGGATCTAGTTGCAGTCTGGATTTCAACCAAACACTCCGTCAACAGTAGTCCCACCTTCCCAAGGGAAGTATTGTTCGGTGGAAAGTCCTGGCCATCTCCCGTAGCAACAAAGACTGGTGCAGTGAAAACTGAACTGCCTGATCCACGAAGAAAGAGGAGCAGCAGCCACCAAGCAACCAATAGGCTCGCCATGCGTAGATGTGAACACAGGGGGGTATGTAAATCCTGCATCATGCGCCCATTGCACTTGCAAGCAGCGGCTAGATTTGCAGAACTGTGCTCTTGCACTTGCCTCAGGGCGTGAAGCAGTAAAACAAAAGGACCAAACACGATTTTGTAGAAGAAGCAGGCCTGCAGACAAGAGGGCAAGGAATCTCGTCTCTACAGGAGCACGAGCAAGACCTTTCAGGCTGGAACCTGGCCGGTGTACAGGGCAGGCCAGCACCTGGTCATCTTTCACCTACTCTTGCAAGGCATTTCCTCTGCACATCTGGTTTCCCGGAGACGCAGATGTCCGACACAGTTTGTTAGCTTCCCGAGCAAATGCTGCAGAGGGCTCTCGGGTGAAGGCCAAAGCCAGCGGTCGGCCAATCTTCTTTCGGGACTGTCTGCCTCTGTGCTGAGACAGCTTTCAAAACTGCTTTCCAAAATTGTCAGGAGATCAAGCAAACAAGCTCTACAATCAATCAAATGCATGAGCCAGCACTGCACTTTGGAGCCTGGAGCTTGCAACGAAGCCAACCATAAATCAGGAAGTACAGGCCAAGCAGCGCAAGTGGAATGACCTGTGAACACACAGCAGAATAGTGCGGTGGTGCATTGGTGCATTTTACGACATTCGAGATGATGCCAGGATCGCGGCCAAATGCCAAAGCTGAGCTTGCGGATGCTGGGGAGGTGTTTGTCGAGGTGGCTGCGCACTGGGGGCAACAAGACCAAACGTGTTCCACCTTTGGAAAGTGGCTGTCACGTCGAGCGCATGTTCTCATCAAGCCAGACTTTGGAAAACGGCTGACTGAGCTGCAGGCCCCGGCGGTGAGGTTGCCGGGCCCGCCTAATGATACTTTGGTGCTCAGCGATTAGACAAACCTGAATCGGCTCTCAGTCCCCCCTAAAAAGGCCTCTACCTATGCTAACGCGGCTACCACGAACAAGTTCTCGACCAATTGCCACTGAAAAGATTCCTAACTGGGCTGCAGGTGTTGTGCTCTTCTATCAACATTGCAGCCGTGATCCGAGGCATCGTGTTCGCCAAGCAGCTCAGTTGCTTTTCGCTTTTGGCTCGGCCATGTCGTTGCTTGCGTTGTTCCGTCTTGGTGTGCCATTATCAAGAACGAGTCTGAATAAAGACTCTAACCTGGAAGTGAATTGAGGTGACGCAGCTGAATCCATCAATGCGCGATCGCGACGGCATCGGCTTGTAATCTGAGTATTCCCACTCGGAGGAGGCTAATGAGGAAGCACTGGTTGTTAGTGCGTATCCTGGTGCTCGCGAGTGAACGGTTTGGCTCGGTTTAGAACACAGGGAGAACCCGGCGGAGAGGAGGGCACGCCAGCCCGAGTATTTCGTCGCTGCTCGTGCATTCCGCCTTGCTCGACATGCACTTCTCCCATGAAAACCAAGTCGCGAATAACCTTTGCAGTGAGCCTACAGGAAACGCTCCGAACATGTGATCTGCCTTGCCTTCGGGTCCATTTAACTGACATGGGAGGCTCGCCCTGCACACCTGGCGGCGTCATGGAAAGCATTCGGCTTTCTCTGCCATGCAAAACCTTGCCTCAACGAGCAAGCGGCAAAAGACTGTAGGTGCCGTCGCTGCATGTTCCCAGAAGCTTTGAACCTACGTGATATCAAGCAAGATTCTTACTTAGTGGTAGTATCCGAGTATCCCCTAAACGGAAAGCCAAGCATACTCTCGCCAACATTCCGATGGAGCCCTAGAGCTTTTTTCAACAATAATAATACTGAAATGTTCCTAATATGCCCATGCAGAACCAGCCGCTCACATCTGTCCACTTTGATGGGACTGCGCAGTGTAAGCTTGTTGCGGCATGTGTCGGGCTACGCTAGTTGAGCACCAAGCTGCCCAGAAATCGCAATGCATCTGAGCAGATTCCGCCGTTACGGCTGCGCCATGCTGCGCCTTTGTGCATCAGAGTGTGGCGACCTGAAGTCGGGACAAAAACCCGCTCTAAAGCAGACGGCTGGCCATAAAAAAAGGCCCCTTGTTCTTATGAGGGGTCCTCGCTCACGGCCGACCTGTTTCGTCGATCTTGCTGATCAGTAACGCTCCTTGCTAACAGTCTTTTTCGTTTCAAGCGGCGGCTTGACTCTGCACCTCGGGCAGAGGAAGCCGGACCGTTTTAGTCCAGCTTGCACCACCCAGGAGGCACAGCTACACGATATTTACTACAGATGCTTTCCACGAGCTCAGGCTCTCTGCCTCTGTACTTCTGCATGAACTCTGGAACCTCAGCGCGAGGTCAGGACAAGGGTCCAGACAAAGATCGTACAAGCTTGACGATCAGTTTTTGTTTGATGGGCCTGCCAGGACTTTGCATGGCTTTTGCAACTGCTCTCGGGGTTTTCGTGACTTCTCCGGCGGGCTTGTGTCTGAGGAGCTCGTATGCGAATATGCAAATGTCGACGATTCGGTCCAGCTGGATCTTGGCCTTGTTCACACACCGTACATGGCCGGAACGAACAAAAGCGGGACGCCCGGCTTTTCGATCGGAAGGGACCCGTGATGTTAGCTTTGCACTTCAGAGATTGCAAGTGACGCAAGCTTTTCGACATGGCAGTGGTGTATTAAACAATCATTTGAAGGGGTCCATACCCCGCTGCCAGCAGCGCACGAGATCAAAACGACGCAGATAGGCTGAGATGGGTGGCTTGAGGTTCTTCCGGGTACAACCTAACCAAAGCAGAAACCCAGGCGACATGATCAGCACTACGCAACAGGGCGAACCCGAACAACATCCCGGAGCTGCTTTCGCAAATTAAGCCAGGTAGCCTTCGGCAGCAAGCTTGGGTTGAAGCGTGTGTAGATGTTCGTCAGCCAGCGGTGAAACTCTTCGGTCGTGAGTGCTTGCGAATCCGCTGGTGCAGTTGGCAGGGAATGGGCATGTTCCTGGAGAACAGCTGGGTGCAACCTGCCAGTTCGGAGCACGTTGCTCATGAAGCACAAAGGTAGACTCACGCGAAGAGATGCGATGGCCTCTGCATTTTGTAACTCTGTGCCTTCCGAAAGGAAGAAGTCGACACATGCATAGTCCACAAGCGATTTCACGATCGTGATTGTCAAGTTGACTGTCAAGTTCTTGTATCGGCTGGTCTTCAAGAGGGTTTCCTATCTCCTGGACTCCATCGGCCTTTCCAATTTTTGGTAGCCGCAGTGCTGAAATCGGAGAGTTATAGGCTGCCAGCAGCTCTTCAATAATCAGCTTTTCCTCCTCCCACTGCGGTCTCGTGTCAATCAAACACTCGTTTCCTTGCACCGATCTGAGCCATCCAGAGCTTCCTGACTTTTTGCCATCGACCACGCCTTAGAGTCAGAACTGGTTCAAGGACATCGGGGGGCCATCATGGTCGTGTTTCAACAGCGCTATGCCGCTATGCTTTGTGTCTCCCTCATGGTCGACACGGCTCAAGGCTTGCACGAACCATCAACCAAAGCTTTCGCTCCGACTTCTCAGGATCGTCCGCCAGTTTGTTGATTTGTGCAAGTCGCACAAGTGAACCGCCTTAGTTCACACGCATATGACATGCTTTCTCAGCTCCGATTGCCTGATATGCAGCTAGGCTAAAGCTAGAGCAGCTTGGCAGGGCACTTGGAACTGTCTCCAGCGGCGACTGCTTTTGGTTTGGTCGTTCCAGCACCGGCTGCTCTAGCAAAGGCTGCTCATGCAAAGTGCGATACGACCCGCCAACCTGTGCAAAGCTCACTGGTTCAGAGCCGTTCCCACAACTACTTCTGGGGAAGAAACGATCCTGCATCCGGCACGACCGGTCGAGAAGAGATGACAATACAGCTGTAGTGACTGTAGTGGTACTTGTATCAAAGCCAGTCAGCACTCATGATGTGCATGTGAGCTCATGTGCAAAACGGCCGGCCTTCCATGGGACACAGCCGGAAGCTATGCCTTCCAGATGGCCATGCGACCCACACAGTCTCGGGGGGAACTACGAACCTGAATGCGCGCCTTTCAAAGTCTGCTGCGCGGCATCACTCCCAATCTTTGCCACATCTGGACCCAGCAAGTTGGTGGAATCAACTTTTGGACCTTGCGCGTCCTCCAAGACCATCCAGCCAATGCAGTTGCCTCACAAAACTCTCTGCAACGAACTTCGTTGAAAGATGGTTCATGCCTGAAATATGACCGTGAATCGTGTTGATGTCGACTTTATGTCTGTTGTGGCGGGAGGCAAGTTTCCTTCAGGAATGTGGAAGAAACTCTGAGATCTGCACCTTGAGTTTTGACTCTCGTGTATACTTGACATCTGCCGTCTTGAGCATGATGACCCAACTGAAAGAGAAGCAACTCCTCTCCTGCAAGCACCTGCCGAGACAATTTCAGAAACCCCAGCTGTCCAAACTCGAGAAGTGCATGTCGCGAGCCTCTGCGATCTCCTGGCGATTCATCAAGTACTAGGAGCAACATCAGCTACTGGCAGCTACTGCATACAGCGAAGCCTCGCTCTTCGGTGAAGGCTTGTCGTGAAGAGGAGACGATGCTCTCAGGCGGTATCTTCCCGGGATCTCTCTGGAGCTGGGCAGCTGCGTTAGGGACGTCCGCTCGATTGCTGAAGCCTCAGTGCTCAAAAAACCAGCGACACAGCGAAACAATGCTAGTACTTCATTGCAAGCCCAAGTCACCTCGCTGCAATTCAACTACACAAGGACCCTGGACATGATTCCAGCCAGACTTGACTTGGTTCTTTCTTGTTGTCGTTCCTTCGCCATTTCTTGCTTGCTTTATTTCTTTCCTTCACGACTTCTTTGGTGCTTTCTTTCTTTAGTACTATCTTTCTTTCGTTCATTTGTTCTTTATCTATGCCTTTTTTCTGTGTTTCGTTATTTCTGGGTATGTTTTTCTGTCTTTCGTTCGTTCGTTAGTTCAGCCTACATTTATCTCCTTCTTTCTGTCTTTCTTTGTCCATTTATTGGTTTCTCTCTCGTTCTTTCCTCCTTTCTTTCGTTCTTTCTTTCCGACTTCTCTGGTTCTGTCTGTTTTTCTGTCGTCGTTTCTTTGTCTTTCTCTCCCGGGCTTCCTTCTTTCACCAGGCTTGAGGGGTGCAAGGTTTCTTTCTGTCTTTCTCTCTTTTCTTTCTTGCGCTCCCCCCCCCCCCCCCCCCC